AAAAAAAAAATTTTAAAAAAAAGTAGCGTTAAAGTAGCGCGCTACTTTTAAAAAATAGCGTTAGAAATAGCGCGCTACTTTAAAAAAAAAGTAGCTTTAGCGATAGCGAGCTACTTTTGGGGGGGAGTAGCAGTAGCGTTAGCGTGCTACAAAAAAACAGTAGCGTCCCGACCACTGCGACTCCTAAGGGCGAATAAGGTGGCATCATGGAGACAATTCTGTACCCTAGAGGGGAACCTAACCTCAGATAATTGACCTTTTACAAAAAAAAAATGATTATATTTTATAAATATATATTGTACATATTATACACACAAATATTATGTATAATATTTAAAATTACCAATTGGTAAAATTGCATGCCGGATAACATCAGCTTCATGAAGCAAAATTTTATGTACAGATGTAGGCATGTAGTACCAGGGGTAGAGTTCAACAAACAGTTTAGCTGTTTGAATACCATACGTTTCAAAAGCATCTGTATTTATTTCATAACCACTTGCCATGACAGTTAAAATCGTTCCAAATCGTTTGATTAAATTGATGTTCAAACCAGTAATTTCGGCCGATTTTTCTGCATTTTTAAAAAACTTCCTGGCTGTGTTTCCATTATTTGTTGTACCGCAACCTATTTTAACGATATTATAATAGGTAATTAAAATTAAAAATAGTTACATACATATTAATTTTTAAATTAAAATATACCTTGTAATACTATATCTACTAATAATCCCATTTCGGAACGAAATTGTTCTAGTATTTCTTTTTTTTGTTTGCAAACTTCAATTTATTTTCAGTAGTTTTCACCTTGAATGTATCAATTTATGTTTTCTTTAAAATTTAGTTCACACAAGGTATATATAAGTATAATACTAATAATAATTATTACCTGCCAAGTTTTGAAGTCTAAACGATATGACACATGTAATAGACATTCAAAAAATCTAATCCATGCATGTAATGTCGATAAACCAAATTTAAAATGTTCCGGTTTAGTACTTAACTTTAATACTTTATCAATATCATTGGCATGTTTTGGAGTACAACCACAGATATAACATGTTTGACTCGAAGTAAAAGTCATCGAATTGCATACCTATATGTACATAAATTATGCATATTTTTTTATTTTTTCTAAAAAGGAATAGTTCCAAAGTATTATATAAAAAATACAAATAAATTTACCTTTCATCAACCATTGAAAAAATTAGCTTGTGCTCTACTTTCAAATTACCATCATTATAAATTAAATCTATTGTATTTAAGTTATCTATTTGTGTTTCTACTTTATTCACTTCTTCTCGAGTATTTTCGGCGGTTTCTTTTTTTAATAAAAATTTAATAGGTCTGCAGAATCTTGTTGAAGAAGTCCTTGGATTTTTCCAAATAATAAATTTGTTGTCATCAATCGTGCAACTCATTTGCAATGGTACAAAAGAAAACATAAACATATCGCTATCTGTCACCGATTGTTTAGTAGATGAATCAAAATTTATTCTGTACTGTGATTGACCATTGCTTCCATCACACCCCCATTTATAGAGTAATTCACACTTTTCTATGTTAATATTCATACTTTGAACACTAGGAATTTGCAGAATACGTTGGGCAGTGTGATTTAATAAATCTTGAAGTGGTATTTCGGCACTACATTCAGTTATAATGACATTATTTGGGTAACATTGTTTTTTTGCTATAAGCACTTTGTCATATGATGGATAAATGTTTGAATTTCGAGCTTTAGAACCGATTCGAATGTTTGTGTACTGTTTTTTTGTTAAATTATTATCCATGATAAATGCCACAGCTTCGTTGGGAGAGTAAGGTATTGGAAGAGATATTATATTAGTATTTTTTAATGTTTTTCGCATTTTTAAAGCTCGGTTAGGACTAGACGTTAATTCTTTGAAAAGTAAAGCTGCACTTCTTTTTCCCGATTTATGCATTTTAGAGGTTACAGCGTATGTCAATTCTGGGGAGGTAAAACTTTTTACAACATTTGAAATTTTTTGTTTTTTTATTCTTTCTGTGCACGTTTCAAAATTTTTTTTCGGACGACCAACAGTCTTATAATTCATTTGAGATGGAAGAGTTGGTAAAATGAATTCCTTTTTAAGCCATTCAGAATGTTTTTTAGTAAAAACTGTAATTGTCCTATTACATTGGGATCATTTTCGGTGAAGACTAATAGTAAAAGTGTGTACTAAATTTAAAACTAGGCTTTCAAACTCTGAGCTCCATTCATATTCATTGTGTTTTTCACGGATTTTTTTTCAGTAGAAAATGTCTAGATTCACCACTCATTCGTATTCAAATTATAATCAAACATGTATACAATATTTATGATTGACAAATGCTGTGTGAGGGGTTCCATGACAGCTGATGCGCACACCGGTACCCAAGAGGGCGGCTGTGACTCAAGCTCTGAAACAAGATGGATTGCGTTAAAAATACTTGATAATTAGTACGGCGTTTTGGCTGGCGTACCTTCGTCGCTCTCGACGAATTCAAATACGTCACGGACGGAAGGTGGCGATGGTGTAATCACGTCTGAGACCTTTAACTGGCCGTTTCCAACTATACCGACGTCCACCTGTCTTGAAGATTCGTCTTCGTCGGTGGAATCGAAATAAATGTGATGTCCGTGAAGTTGGCACCCCCACTTTGAGATATCGACTTCAAACCAGTGCCAATATTTTGCAACTGATTTGCAACAATTTGCAACACCGGTTTCGAAATTTGCAACTTCCCCCATTCTCCGGGAAATCCGATTTCCCTATGGGGGTGCCAACTTCACGTAGCACCCCCACTTTGAGATATCGACTTCAAACCAGTGCCAATATTTTGCAACTGATTTGCAACAATTTGCAACACCGGTTTTGAAATTTGCAACTTCCCCCATTCTCCGGAAAACTCGATTTCCCGATGGTACTACTATCAATTTTCACGGCCATTTTTTTAAAATTATTTTTCTATTTATTAACGTTATAAATTATTAATAAATAACACCTAATTCAAAAATAATTTATAATAGGTACTTATTTAGGTAGGTATAAAATATAATATAATTCATAAAAGTTATAAAAAAAAATTAATAGCTCTGAGGGATTTAAATTATAATTATAAATTTAATTATAACTTTCCGAATTCCGTTTATTATTATTTAGTACTTATAGGTTCATAATTAAGTTTTTTAAGTTTTTAGAAAAAAATATCTGATTTTTAACATATTATTATGGTACATTGGCAAGTTTTATAATCTTTATAATATTATAATTATAAATAACTATTTAACAAATGTGACTTGATTTTAATAATTAACCTAGGTACTCTATTATTAATAAATAATAGAATAAAAATTACTTATATCAATATAGACAATAACAAAATATGACCTGTGTATTTGATTTGGTGCTAAAATTACTTAAAAGATCGAGCATTGGTTATTACTGCGCAATTTTTTTTAATTATATATATTCATTATTATAAAAAATTGCATTATTTTTTGTAAGAAATAATTTATTTATAATTTTTAAGAAAAATAACTCAAATTTAATTTATAATATTGATCAACAAAAATTAAATTAACATTCTGTTTAACATGTTTTTATTTAATTTTAATTTTAATAGTATTTATTAATCAATATTATAAATTAAATTTTGCGTTATTTTTCTTTAAAATTACAAATAAATTATTTCTTACAAAAATTAATAAAAATATTTGTATATTATAAGAATTTATTATTCATAATAATGATTAATAAATACGATTAATGAAAATAATAAAAACAATTAATATAAAGGTAAGATATCAATTAATTAAAACATTACGAACAATAATAACTCATAAATATAACTAATATTTGGCATATCACGTATAACCCCCACTTGATTTTTTGACTTCAATCCAGTGACAATATTATAAAATTAATTAAATATAAAACATTAGTTTTCTGCTAATTGTATTAAACAGTATGATGCATTCTTACTTAATGCTATCATTTTCAACCCATAAAGTGGGTTCAACCCTTTACATTTGAAAAATGATATCCTTTTAAATTCATACTGAATCAACTTCCCAGACAAACACCAAATTTTTTCAATTCATTCAGAACATAGATTCCTCTATGTAAAATTAATTTATGTCTGACTTGCACCATAATGAATATCCTATTGTCCATTTACCATGGAGTAATTTACAATATTTCAAACAATTTTCCTTTATTAAAATTAATTATGTCTTACACTTAAAAACAACTGCACTTTAATTTAATCAAATAAATTGTATGATAAATAAAATTTTAAAAATATAAAAGACAAATTTAAAAGAAATGTTTTCTTTAACATTTTTACTAATGAACAAATTACATAGGAACTTGTATCTCTTACTTTACAGTTAACAAATTTAATTAACTTTCAACTATTTTACAATATTAAGATATATACACTATTTAATCGACTTGAATATAAAGTAGTAGATGTGCATTTACTTTTGTGTTCTGGGTTTGACTAAATCTTCTAATTTTTGATTGGATGTCGTTATGAGTTTCCCAATTATTTTCACTTCTCCTAATATGCACTACATAATGGTCAAATCCCCAGTTCACTATACCATAAAGTATAAAACTGAAAATAATTGACACCAATTAATTAGCATTTTATCTCAAAGTGATAAATTTATAAATGTATGAGTTATTTATATCTATCAATACAAACAATTTTTAAAACTTAATTTGTTAAATATTTATATTATAATATCAATATAATAGTTATTTTGTAAATTATAAGATGGATAGAAAGAGGTATTAGATTATGAACATGCGTTACTAAAATAATTAAAATATCAAAAAAGATTAATTTAAAAATTAAAAAAGCAGACTAAAGAATGAATTAAAACTCGAAGAGTATCATGAAAATAAATCAACCAGAGAAAGAACAAAACAGATACTTCTGATGAGATATCTAAATATCGGTGATATATTTTAGGTTCTGGTATTACAGTAAAATATCAATATAAATTTGCATCTTTTTTAAAAAATGATAAGAGTACATTTGCAAACACTTTCTGTCACCATAAACAAATGTCCCTGAACATGATGTTTATCCACAAGAATTGAAAAGTTTATTCTACAGTAATCATGAAATTAAACTTTTAAAAAGATATAATAATATGTTTGCAAAGAAAAAAACTGAAGGAGAGAGAATTGAACATTAGAAAAATCACCTTATATTAATTAAACTATATAATACATATTTGTATATATAATATATATATATATAAATAAATAATATATATATACATAAATTATATTATTTATAAACATTTATATAACCATTGATATATTTATATTTTTTAGTACTTAAAATTTTATTTTTTAAATATATACAAAAATATTATTTACCTAATGTATACAATAATATTACATACCTTTTATTATTCGTATTTAAATTTTTAGGGATTTCGTTGATGTTAAATTGGCGATCATCCTCAAATACATCCGTTTCAATGAATAAATGGCTTTGAAGGTTTCTTTTAGTTTTTAACATTCCATTATAACATTCTGTACAATCATACTCTTTAACCTGCGTATATATGTTAAGTAAATCTTCTATTCCAGACAAATCTTGTTTAAATCTTAAAATGATGGTTGGACATGATGCTTGTCTATTTGAATTCTGGCAATTTTGATTATTACAGTTTATATCTTCGACTGCGGATGGAGCATTCTTTAATAA